AAAGACACTTAAAAAAATGAAAAACATTTTTTTTACCCCAGTCAGTTTGGCTCAGTGGAGAGAGCGTCAGCCTGCTGACTGAAGGGTCCTGGGTTCAATTCTGGTTAAGGGCACGTACCTTGGTTGCGGGCACATCCCCAGTAGAAGGTGTGCAGGAGGCAGCTGATCAATGTTTCTCTCTCATCAATGTTTCTAACTCTCTATCCCTCTCCCTTCCTCTCTGTAAAAAATCAATAAAATATATATTTTTTAAAAAAGGGTCTGCACGGGAGCTGCTGCGTGGAGAACGGGTAGGTGGGGAAACTGAGGCCAAGAAAAGGTGTGGGGTGAGTCAAAAGCTGCCTAAGTCCAGATGTTAGGGTAACCGGAAAGCAGGGCTCCAGTAAATGGTGGGGTGGAGCCTCAGATGCAGGGGAAAAGGCCTGCAGGTGAGGGACCAGCTCAACCTGCAAATGATAGGGGTGGGGCGGGGCCAGAGCAGGGGCGTGGCCACGATAAGGGCGGGGCCGAAAGGCCTAGAACAAGGGCGGGACCTCAGGTGGTGGGGAGGGGCAGCGTGTTGGAGCGGGCGGGAACATGAATATGGGCGTGGTCTCTTGGAGGCGGGGCCAAACCTGGGAGGGGCGGAGCATACACCAGGGCAGGGCTGGATCTCGCCAGGAGGATGAAGAAACAGGGCTCGCTAAGGGGCGGGACGCGGGACGGGGCGGGGCTTAGAGGGAGAGGCCGCGGGGGCGGGGACTGTGCGAGGGGCGGGGCCACAGCGGTATCCGGTCGGGTGGGTAGGGCTTACGGGCAGAGCAAACGCCGCCGCCCCTCCAGCTACGGAGTTGGGTGGATGCGCCGGAAATGTCCCCGATGAGACCTGCGTATTTCCGGTCAAGATGGCGACGCCCACGGGAGTCAGGTGCGGGCGACTCTGTCTTCAGTAGCGGCGGCGACTCGAGGCCCGGAGAGGTGAGGCGCGCCCCGCTCTGGCTCCCCTCTTCGGAGAGGAGGGAGGAGATTCGTTGATAGGACGACCCTAGGGGGAGCTGGTTGCTTTGGAGGCGGGACAGCGGCGTTGCTAAGAGACGGGGACGCGCGCACTGGACATCGGGGAGGGGGTTGCTAGGAGAGTGGGTGGGGCCTGTTGCTAGGGAGGGAGGCGGGGCTAGTGGCTTTGGGGAAGGGTCCCGCTGGTGTGAAGGAAGGACGGGAAGCGGGCAGTGGTTCAGTGGGTGTGGGCAGAGCGGCTCCGTGTCATGGGGGGGCACCGGGCTCCCCTAAAACGCCACCTTCTCAGCAGACCCCCAGGAATCGACCCTCCAGGACACCAGAGCTCCTTCCGCGGCGAACCTCCCCTACCCCGCAATACACGCTCCCCTTCTCCACAAGTAGCCCATGGCGGACCAAGGCTCGGGGGGCAGCCGCCTTCCCCTGGCGCTGCCCCCAGCCTCCCAGGGCTGCTCC